AAGTTAATCCACACATTGGCATTGGCCGTAAGATTGTAAGCCTTGAAAGTCCTCAACATGTAATTCGAGTGATCATCCCAAACAGCCCCTGGTTTTCCTATCTCATCAGCCACCTCAGTCAAATATTCTATGGTCGCATGCCTCACCATTCTAGAGTAATCAGTCTTCTTAGGGGGGTCTAGGCCATACAGCCGATTGATGGCTTTAGAATTAAACATGAAAGTCATCCCCCTTATCGATATCTTGGACGTGCTATTTGCTGCTAACTCAGCATAGAACTCTCTAATAAAAGTCAGGTTATAGGAAGTTGGAACCATGCACATATTTTCTATACCATGAGCTTCTACCACCTCTCTTATAAATGCGAATTCCCTAATGCTTTGCCTATCAAATCCCTTGTCTGGGAATCCAACCCTGTTCTAGAACCTAACATGCATCTTTTCAGCAGCTTTAGAACTAAAACCATTGTGGGGTCTGATTGGCCTTGGAATGGTGGCTGGCCTTTGGGCCATAGCCACCCTCTTTCTCTTAGGTCTGGAGGAATGCTGCTGTGATGCTACAGCATTAGTCTCAGAGTTCCTAGGAGACTCAATCACAACCCTTTGAGACCGGTCGTCTTCCTAGGTGGTTCCTCATTAACTACTGTCTTTGACTTTTTTTATCACAAGCTTTGACCAACCTTTTTTTCCTAGACACAACCTCAACAGGGGGTTCTTCATCCTCTTCCCTAAAAAATTCCTCATTGAGGTCGGGTATGGGATCATGAGGAGCAACATGAGGCATATCATCCTCATCATCTGTATCTTGCCCAGAGGCAGTCAAAAGTAGAGGCTTCCTCGGTTTTTCAATCACAGTAATATTTTCGAGACTGCATGCCTCATCTTCCATCAAAATCTCCCCTGTTTGTGCCATAGAGGCAGGGTCCTCCTCTTCCTCAGAATCAGAAGTGAAGAGGCCCTCAGGGAGTGTACTATCAGATGAGGATTGTACCTTTTGAGAAGTTTCGATTGATTCCCTGTTGGTGGTGGTCGGAGATGAAGTTGGGATTGGGGCCTTCTTTGGAATCGGCACTGTAGAGGATTTCACCATTTCTTTGACTTTCTTCAAAGGATCTGTGAATGGGATGATGGCAGTGTATGGTACCATTTGAAGAGGAGGAACGACGATAGGTACTTCCGGTGGAGTAGGGTCGACAGCGACTGTTGACGGTGGCAGTGACGGCGATGGTGGTGGAGACGGTGAGTCTTCATCAATAAGGAGTGTAGATGACTCACCCTTCTTCTTTCGCGCAAAAGGGAGTCTCTTCCCTCTCCTCGCTGGCTGTTTTCGTGAAGATACGGGAGTACGCTTAGCGGCAGTGGCCACCGGTGGTGGCGGGTTAGGCGGTTGCGCCGGCGTCTGTTCTGATGCATGCGACGGAGGAGGATCACGAACCGTGGCTCTCTTCACTCTTGCCATTCGAACGTTGGAGATGGTGGGGGGGACGGTTATCGGTCGGGAGCGATAGTTAGAGGAATGGGAGGGAAATGAGAAGAGAGAAAAAAGGGTTTTCTTAAGAATAGAAATGGGTTTTTTCAAAAGGTGAGGGTAGAATGGGAAGAAAGATGAGGTATCATGTTGTAAGCATTGGGATCATGCAAAGGGTGTGGGGGGTACTTGAGTGCTTTTGATGGAGGCTTCCTTTTCATATCAACCATGAGCTTTCAAACATAAGTCTTATTTAATTAATTTTTGACCACAAGTGATATGTTTGAAAGGTTGGTAGCCAAGTCCCCTCAATGACAAAGTAGTACTTTTTCTCTTTGCATATGGTACTAAAATCGACTGGCATTAAAAAGAGATGACCATTTTCTTAAAAATTAATTTTTTAAGAATGACATCATGCATTTTCCATTCAAAAATTTTCAGACTTTAAAATTTTCCAAGATTCTCCATTAAAGGCTAGGGTTTTCAGATGCTGCAGCAAGACCTCAGGCTTTTCTTGATGATTGACTGTACTGCAAAACACACGACAAATAACGACAATATTATTAATAATATTAATAACTATAAAAACAGAATTTAAAACAAATATAAATATTTACAAACACATATTTCTGGACTTATAAAAACTCCAAAAATACCGAAGCTTTTAGCAAAGGGTAGCAAAATTCACAGAGCATAACTCTGGAATTTCTACCGGATCATGAAATAACTTTACTCTTTGACCGTTAACTTTGAACACATAATTGTCCTCAGGATTGATTAGGTCAACTGCTCCATACGGATAAACTTTATGGATGAGGAAAGACCCAGACCAACGAGACTTGAACTTTCCCGGGAACAGTTTTAATCTAGAGTTAAACAAAAGAGCTTTCTGACCAGCTCTCAACTCCCGGTGTTGAATTCTTTTATCATGCCATTTCTTTGTTTTATCTTTATAAGTCTTGGCATTTTCATAGGAAAGATTCTTATGTTCCTCTAATTCACACAACTGTACTTTTCTTTTACTGACAGCCATATCTGGGCACATATTTAATTCTTTGATGGCCCAATATGCCTTGTGTTCTAGTTCCAAAGGGAGGTGACAAGCTTTACAAAAAACAAGCTTATATGGGGACATACCGATAGATGTTTTAAAAGCAGTCCGGTATGCCCATAAAGCGTCATCTAATTTGAAAGCCCAATCCTTTCGGTTTGGCTTGACAACCTTTTCTAAAATTCCTTTTATTTCTTAGTTTGAGAGTTCAGCTAATCCATTGGTTTGTGGGTGGTAGGCATTTGCTATTCTATGGTTAATGTTGTACTTTTCAAGAACTCTACTCAACAGGTTATTTACAAAGTGGATACCCTTATCACTAATTAGTGCCCTTGGGGTACCAAACATTGTAAAAATCTGTTTTTGAAGAAATTTAACCACAGTTTTTGCATCATTAGTAACACAAGCCATARCCTCTACCCATTTAGAAACATAATCAACAGCCACTAGAATGTATTGACAATGATTTGATGGGGGAAAAGGTCCCATGAAGTCTATCCCCCATACATCAAACAACTTTACTTCTAAGATCCCATTAAGTGGCATTTCATTCCGTTTGGAAATGGATCCACTTCTTTGACACTCATTGCATCTTTGTGCAAAATTGTGGGCATATTTGAAGAGAGTAGGCCAATAAAATCCAGATTGTAAAACTTTAGCAGCTGTTCTTTGGCCTCTAAAGTGTCCTCCATATGCTGCTTGGTGACAATGCTGTAGAATTGCTGCCACTTCAGTTTCTGGGATGCACCTTCTTAAGATTTGATCTGCACTTATCTTAAACAAGTAAGGGTCATCCCAAAGGTAAGTTTTAGTATCATGGAGAAACTTTTTGAACACAAGGACAGAAATATCAGAAGGTCTAATTCCACAAGCCAAAAAGTTTGCTATGTCAGCAAACCATGGTGGCTTTGATTCTAACACTAGAATTCTTTCATCGGGGAATGTTTCAACAATCTCTCCTTCTTCTAGGGTCTCCCTAGGCTTCTCTAATCTTGACAAATGATCTGCAACATGGTTGTCTACTCCTTTCCTATCCACTATCTCAAGGTCAAACTCTTGCAACAACAAAACCCATCTTATTAACCTACGTTTAACATCTTTTTTGGAAATCAAGTACTTGATGGTAGCATGGTCAGTGTGAACAATGACCTTTGTTCCCATCAAATATGATCTATATCTCTCAAAAGCAAAAACCACAGCTAAAAGTTCTTTTTCGGTTGTTGTGTAGTTAAGTTATGCTTCATTCAAGGTTTTACTTGCATAATAGATTGAATGAAAAACTTTTTCCTTTCTTTGACCTAAGACAGCTCCAACAACCTAGTCACTGGCATCACACATGATCTCAAAGGGTTTGTTCCAGTCAGGAGCAACAACTACTGACGCGGTTACTAAAGCTTTCTTTAAAGTGTTGAATGCATTTCTACATTCAACCGTAAAATCAAATTTCTGATCATGTTGCAAAAGTAAACACAAAGGTTTTGAGATTTTTGAAAAATCTTTTCTAAACCTTCGGTAAAACCCAGCATGACCAAGAAAACTTCGTATTCCCTTGACAGTAGTTGGTTCAGGTAGTTTTTCAATGATTTCAAGTTTAGCTTTGTCTACCTCAACTCCTCTTTTGGAAATTAAATGGCCTAAAACAATTCCTTCTTTGACCATGAAATGACACTTTTCCCAATTGAGAACCAGATCAGTCTCTTCACATCTTTCAAGACTCATTTTTAGATTTTCCAAACAATTATCAAAAGATGAGCCATAAACTGAAAAATCTTCCATAAAGATTTCTATGGATTTTTCAAGCATGCCAGAGAACATGGACATCATGCATCTTTGAAAATTTGCAGGAGCATTGCAAAGTCCAAATGGCATTCTCCTAAAAGCAAAAGTACCATAGGGACATGTGAAGGTGGTCTTTTCTTGATCTTCGGGTATATGGCTATTTGGTTATATCCGGAGTATCCATCCAAAAAGTAGTAATACTTTTTTCCAGCCAACCTGTCTAACATCTGATCAATAAAAGGCAAAGGAAAATGGTCCTTTTGAGTGGCTTTGTTTAGCCTACGGTAGTCCATACATATCCTCCAACCAGACACTATTCTTGTGGGGATGAGTTCATTTTTGTCATTGGTGATAACAGTAAATCCTCCCTTCTTTGGGACACACTAGATTGGACTAACCCAGGAACTACCGGCTATTGGAAAAATTATTCCTGCATCTAGCCCTTTCAAAATTTCCTTCTTCACTACTTCTTTCATGACCGGGTTCAATCTCCTTTGAGGCTCTATAGATTTGAAGTTCTTTTCATCTAGAATGATCTTATGTTGACATATGGAAGAACTAATCCCCTTTAGGTTAGCAATGGTCCATCCTATGGCTTTGGTGTGCAACTTCAACATATCTACAAGCTTCTTTTCTTGATGTAAATCTAGGGTAGATGATATAATGACAGGTAATTTACATTCCTCTCCTAGATATGCATACTTCAAGTGAGATGGGAGTTGCTTAACTCCAGAACAGGAGGTGAAATTATAGGCGGGGTAAAATTCTTAAGCTCACTATTTTCCAACAACTCAAATGCTACAGCATCAGATGGGACATCACCTTCTAAATCCTCAACAGTATCATCACCTATCTCAACACTATCGTCCTCCTCTAGCTTACAGGCCTTCCTAGCTCCTTCCTCATAACACATTTTCTCAATCTCAGTAACTCCTGAGCATTCCTCTAAGTAATTAGGGTACTTTAAGGAATTAAAGACATTGAATGTGACTTTCTGATCTTGGAGTCTCATGGTAAGCTCTCCTTTTTGGACATCAATCAAGGTTCCACTAGTGGCTAAGAAAGGTCTTCCTAAGATTATGGGAATATCTTTGTCAGCCTCAAAATCAAGGATGATGAAGTCAACCGGAAAGATGAATTTGTCAACCTGAACTAAGACATCCTCAATCTTACCTTTTGGATAAGCTATGCTTCTATTGGCCAATTGCAAGGTGACAGTGGTGAGTCTAGCTTTTCCTATGCCTAGGGTGTTGAAAACAGATAAGGGCATAAGGTTGATACTAGCTCCTAGGTCACACAAAGCTTTACCAATCTCCTTTCCACCTATAGAACAAGAAATAGTGAAACTCCTTGGGTCTTTAAGCTTAGGGGGTATTTTGTTGGTTAGAAGCGCACTACATCCCTTAGTAAGAGCTACGGTCTCATATTCGGTTAACTTCTTCTTCAAGGCATAACAGGGCATTTGCTCTATTGCTTCAACAAGAGGTATGTTGATATGCAATGCTTTAAACACTTCCAAAAACTTCTTGAATTGCAGTTCTTCCTTTTGATTCCTTAACCTTTGGGGAAAAGGAACATAAAGAGGAACTGGCTTTATGATGGCTTTGTTAGGTTGTGTTGAGCAAGATGGGTCCAGAGTGCCTAGAGTCTTGGTCTTACTTTCTTGAGGTTTAGATGGGATTACAACTTTGGTTTTTGGACCTGTTATAACCTCATCCTCAATTGGATTTTTTCCTAGCAACTTCTTCAGGGAATAACAAAGGATAGTCCGACTTAGGAGGAACAAAGGTGGCGGTCTCAGGAAGTGGGTTATCCAGAGGTTTTGGTGGACTTTCAGTAATAGGGACCATAGGTATAGTCTCAAGTTTAGATAAAACCTGTTCACTTTCTTTTGGTATGGTCTCAGTTAATTCCTTTCCACTCCTTAGAGTCACTATCTTTACATGCTCTTTTCCTAAATCTCTCAGGACTTCAGTGTTACTAGGTAAAGTACCAAGGGCTCTACTATTCTGATTGAGAGCAAGTTGGCTAACTTGTGTTTCCAGTTTTTTAATGGCAGCACTTTGTTGATTGAACAAAGATTGATTTTGAGTCATCATTTGCTGTTGTGCTTGGGACTGAGCCACCAGTCCTTTTATCATAGCTTCCAAGGAAGATGATGAATCGGACTGTGGAGGTGGTTTAGTTTGAAAAGGTGGTTGATTATTTTGAAAATTCTGGTGATGGTGATTCTGAGAATTAGAACTGCTTGCATATTTATGTTGTTGAAAATTAGGGTTTCCTTGTTGCTTATGGACTGAGGGGGTTCAAACTTGGACTATTCCATGAAAAATTTGGGTGCTGTCTCCAACTGGCATTGTATGTGTTAGTGTAGGGATTCGATCTGTTATGAATATAATTCACAGATTCAACATTATGTGAACACAGTTCATAAGAGTGTTCCCCTCCACAACAGACACATTGCACTGAGAGGGCAGCTGGAATAGGTGATGTGACAGCTGACTGCACTCCTTGGCCAGAAGTTAGATTTTTAAGCATATTGGCCATAGAAGAGAGTTGTGCTGTTAATGCAGTATATGCATCAACATCATGTATTCCTACTGTCTTCTTTTGCGGTTGAGCACGTGGATCAGCCCAATGTCCATTATTAGCAGAAATTTTTTCTAGGATCTCATATCATTCATTGTAGGTCATAGCTGTAAAGGCTCCGCCCGCAGTCGCATCGAGCATCTGTTTAGCAATGGGACTTAACCCATTGTAGAACGTCTCGAGTTGAATACAGTACGGGATGCCATGGTGAGGGCATCTCCTTAACAACTATTTGAACCTTTCCCAAGCGTTAGGAACAACTTCATCGTTCATTTGTTTAAAAAGGCAAATTTCATTTCTGGACTTAGCGTTCCTAGTTGGTAGGAAATATTTTTGCAAAAACTTTTCCGGCATATTACTCCATGAAGGCACATACCCCGGAGTTAATGAATTGAACCATGCCTTTGCCCGATCCTTCAGAGAAAATGGAAATAAGGTGAGTCTCAGAGCGTCATTAGACACTCCCGGGATCAGGAAAGCATAAGTGATTTCCATAAAGGATTTCAAATGTGAGTGTGGGTCCTCCGAAGGTAATCCGACAAATTGTCCATTTGTTTGCAACACGTGAAACATAATCGGTTTTAGTTCAAAATGAAGAGCGGTCATATGTTGCCTAACCATCCCAGAATTCAATTGCTTAAAATCCGGAATGGCATAGTCCATGATCCTTCCATTTTTGGAATTTGCCAAATTAATAATGTTCAGAGTTTTCTCTCTTGGTTGTTCATTATATTCCGACTCTGTGTCCTCATTATGATTATTATGATGGTGGTGTTCTTGCGGAAAATTCGAAAAAGGTGGTATTGTCCCAAAGGCAGGCGGTTGATTTTCTAAATGTGGAATATTAGGGATGATTGGGGGAGGTAACTCCATGTTGGGAGAGAGTAGAGCAAAAAATGCTCTTTGAGCTCTCCTTCTTTGGCGAAACGTTCTCTCAATATCGGGATCCAATTCAAAAATTTCTCCGCGATGTCTCCGTGACATACACCACTTTTAAAAACGGTTTAAAAACGGGACGAGAAAAATCAAATCTTTTACTTCACTAAAAAGAAATTTTTTAACTAATTAATCCCCGACAGCGGCGCCAAGAACTTGGTCGGTGAAAACCATAGACTACAATCAGGACCACAAGCAAGTATACAAATAGTCCCAATATCGTCTTTCAAGTAATAAAAGTGGTACAAGTACCAGATATCGTCCACAGGGATCGTAGTAAAAGTTTAAAAGAAAGTAAAGTTAAGGAAATGATTTCAGAAGGCGAATTCGAAGACTTTGATTAGAACAGAGTTAACACTACTAAAAACTGGAGATAACAGAATATAAAAGCAAGCTAGGGTGTATGACTTTTCGGGTGAGATATAAATACTATTTCCAGTCGACCAATGCTGTCAAAATGCTACAGCATGAAACCATGCTGACATATTGCTACAACAGTCAATCAGTAACAACTATTTTTACCAATTACTTTGAAGGTATTCCTCTCGGAATTCACCAATGCACTGATATTATAGCTTTCAACCCATATCTCTATGAGGTATCCAGACCAGTGAAAGTGACAAATGGTGTCTTCAAAATATATGAATAAACAAATCTCTTTGTTAAAAATCACTCTCTCGAGTGGATTCCCATATCATTCAAGTTGACGTGTTCTGAATGGCTCGTCTCTGAATCCATTCCACTTTAACACTTCAGAGTGATCAACCCGTCGAGAATTAACAACTTAGAAAATACAGACAACAAATCTTTTTGTTAGCAACTCTCTCAAGTCTACTTCCCATATCATCCAAGTTGACGTGCAAACAATGGCTCAG